AACATTTATATATTATTCTTTATATCTTCAACAACATATTGAGAGATTAGAGTTTAGATTTCAATTGAGATTCTTGAAATCTTGATATTGTAAACACAAAACAATTGATTATAGTGAATTGTTTTCCTCTGCCGGTGGTTTTTTCCCGAATTGGATTTCCACGTAAATTCGTATGTTCTTGTTTTCTTCTTCTTTATTTTATTATTGTCATTATCTTGTGATCCATTTTATAACAATTATTATTGTGCTAAATATAATACGATCTCACATGATTAAGTATCAAAATAAGCAAAATAAAATAAACCTAGTCACAATTTGTGCATCATAAATAATTACAAATACTCATAATTAGCAGGCTATATTGTCCAACTCTATAAAAAAATATAAGAAAAAAATTATATTTTCAACTATATTAATTTTCTTAATTTGTGTGAAAATAGAAATAAACTTATTTTTATGTGACGAATGTAGTATTTTTTTTAAAAAAAGTGGATAGGGCAATGAACTCTCATGGTCCCGTTCTCTTTGTCACATTCAAGATCCCACATCTCGATTTGCTTCCGATCTTTTGCATCATTTCGGTCCAGTCAATGAAATCAGGAAACACAAATAGATCAATAGCAAAAAGAGAAGAAAAAGAAAAAAGAAATTCAAATAAATAATTATTGTCCCAAGTAATGTCGTAAAAAAAATTATTCGCTAAAATATTGCAAATAATTGACGGACACTAGGACTTCAAATCCCCCTACATTCACACATTTTAATATCAATTCAAAACTTAGACAACACCTATTTGGGTACGAAGATCAATATTCATAATTTCTTTATTAATTTCTCGAGTAGAAGTAGACTTATTCTCACATGTAACCATCATAAACCTCTATGAACGATACGGACATGTAAAGATACATTAAATAATAAGAGCATTCATAAGATCATGCAACGCATGGTGATATATTTTTTATTACCTAATTGACTTTAAATGATTCTTTCTAGGTGCTAAATTTCTATTCCTTTTTCTCGAATGTCAATAGAAATCACAAGATAATTCAATGAGTGATCAAGTAATTAAAAGCATTAGAGTCCTAACAATAATTCAATAAATAAACACATACTTAATGCCAAAATTCAGAATTTATGACCTGTTCGGTAGAAATTAAAATCTAGTTTTTAATCTAAGTCAAAGTCATCAATAAATTTTAATCACATATTTTATGGGACCCATAACTTTTCAACCACATATTTTATCAGCTTTGATCGAAATATACTAAAAATCCAATTTTAATCCCCGTCAAACAGGGCTTAATATCAAAACGTATGGTTCAACATTATCCTAACATTCATGCAATTAGCCGATTATTATATTAACTACAAAAACACAATTGAAATTGATACCTTCTTCATGACATTGCATCTAAGTTGGGCTTTATCTACAATTATTATATTTTATGAAAAAAAATACAAAATTAGATAAATATCTGCTCACTTTAGTAATAAATAATTAAGAATTGAAGCCTAAAATAAGCGCATAATATGCACTTACTAATCATGACCAGCGAGAACCAATCGCAAAGTGGCATGGGAAAGCACATACCTTTCATAAA